ATTCGGGTGTAAGTGGCACCCGAATTCTTCAAGCCGAAGGCCATAACCAGATAGCAGAAGATGCCTTCGGGTGTCCTAAAAACTTTGACACTTTTCTTTTTAATTAATGAATTTGTGGTTCCTTTCATTTCTCTCTCTCCTCTGGACAAATATCAACCACACATTTTAAATACTCCTTCCGTTCCTATTAAAACTTCCAACTTTCCTTTTTTCGTCTGTTCCAATTAAAACTTTCATTTTCCCTTTTTAGTAAAGAATTTATGATTCACAACATTTCTTACACATTTCTCTCTCCTCTGCATAACTCTCCACCACACAATACCCACTATCTTAAATTGTGTGCCAAACCTATTTGGAAGATAAAATGGGAACGGATGGAGTATAACTTTTTCATAATCAACAGAATCAGTCGATACAATCACTTCAGTTAAAACTTCATAAATTTCAGCAGAATCAACCAATTTATCCAATTCCAGTGTTAACAAACGGGCTCTTATATTCCGTATATAAATAATTGACGAGATAGTTATAGTACTGGTTATTATAATTTAATACGAAGTTTTGGATTCGTATTAAATTAGGTTTAAATATATTCCATCATCTCAATCTCAATAAACTTGTCAATTAAGCAACGCAATTCTAATTTTAGCTATCAATTACTCCGTATTACTTTTGTTATCTTAAAACTTGTGGTTTCTTACATGATTTTCAGTAAGCAAATCACCCGTTAAAGTTCATAAACTGTAATTACCAAATTAAATTTCAGTGGAACGCAATAATTAAACATTTACCGGCGCGTCGTGATATGAAAAGTGAAATTTCGCAGCTTCTCATACAGCCGTAGCGACCAACTGTTTTGGCTTTCTCTAGAATAAAAAAATGTGTACTTTTGTCTTAATTTGTGTATTATATTGAAGTACAAGTACTTTTAAATTTTAATATTGTGGTTTAGTAATGTGTACCTTTCATACAAAAATTAGAAATATGAATATTATTTTTCCTCTAAATATTACGGAAAATATCTTGGAAAATATCACAGAAATTAACTATCACGGAAAATTTTGAAATATGATTAAAACTAATGTAAATTCTACAATATGAATGATATTTTTCCTCTAAAGATGTACGGAGTACTACCTCTGTTCTAAATTATTGTGTAAAGTTAACATTTTTTTTCCAATCAATTTTAAATTTTATAGACTAGCTCGTCTTCGTGAACGTAGAACTCAGGACATCGGAAAAGTTAAGTGTGTGAAGGATGTTGATCAAATGGTACTAATGGAGGGCGGGGAAATAAAGGAGAGGTGGAAGTCATGCTTTGATATATACCTTGTTCAACGAGAATAAAGTGCAAGATAGAAGTTTGGGAGAGAAAGACATTGAGTGGCTAACACGTTTCTTCAACATGTTTTGGAGAATGATCCAAATAACAAAACTTAAAGAGGCTATGAGAAAGATAGGGCGGAAGAAAGCAGTGGGCCCAGATGGCATACCAATCGAGGCTTGGAGAAGTTTGGGAGAGAAAGGCATTGAGTGGCTAACACGTTTCTTCAACATGATTTTAAGAAACAACAAAATCCAATGAGTTGGCGGAAGAGTACACTCATTCCCCTATTTCAAAATAAGGGTAATGTACAAAAATGTGCCAACTATTGAGGGATTAAGCTTATGAGTCACACTATGAAACTTTGGGAGCGAGTGGTTGAGCAAAGACTTCGAAAAAGTGAAAATCTCAGAGAATCAGTTTGGTTTTATGTCTGGACGCTCAACAACAGAGGACATTCACCTTCTTAGACAAGCTGTGGAGAAGTATAGAGATACTAAAAAGGATCTGCATTTGGTGTTCATCGACTTAGAAAAGACATATGATAGGGTACCTTGAGAAGTCCTTTGCTGGGCCTTAACTAGAAAAGGCATATCACGTAAGTATATCAGTATTATCATGGATATGTATGAGGCTTGTACTACGAGTGTCCATACTAGTGTACGAATGACCGCAAAGTTCTCTATTACTATCGAAGCGCGCCAAGGATCAGCTCTGAGTCCTTTCTTATTTGTTATAGTCGTAGATGAACTTATGAAGTCAATTCAAGAAGATATACCGTGGTGTAGTATGTTTGTCGGCGATATTGTATTGATTGATGAGACACAATCAGGTGTTAAAGCAAAGTTGGAAGTATGATGACAAACATTGCAGACCAAAGGTTTCAGACTGAGCCGAAGAAAGACCGAGTATATGGAGTGCAATTTTGGTGGAGATAGAAGTTGTAGCAAAAGTGGAATTACTCTTAGCTTGATGGTTAGGAGATACCGCTGTGTGATATGTTTCGTTATTTGAGCTCCATAATTCATAAGGATGGTGAACTAGATAGAGATGTATCCCATAAAATCAGAGTTGGGTGGATGAAATGGAAGAGTGCATCAGGATTTCTATGCGATCAAGATATGTCGACTAGACTGAAAGGTAAATTTTATCGAACAGCAATTAGAAGACCAAGTGATGCACCTATTAGGCGACTTGAGAGCTCGGGAGAAGAGACATAGAGGAGAAGGGCGTGGAAGACCCAAACAGACCTGGATTAGAGGAATCAGAACTGATAATGCGTCTTCTTGGGTTGGATGAGAGTATTGATTTGGAGAGGGCAAAGTGGTGGGCGCACATTTGTGTGGACGATTTATCTCTTTTCTTTTTTCCCTCTCTTTTCTTTTATCGTTTATCTTCTTTGTCTTTTTATGTTTTTATGTTATTTTTATCTTCAAGCTTTTTTATGCTCTTTTATCTTTTAATCTTTTATCTTTCTTATATTCTTATGTTATTGTTATCTTATATTTATTTATCTTTATCTTATTCGTTTTATCCTTTTTTCTTGTCTGTCTTCTCTTTTTGGCATCGATATCATGGATCGTTTCATGTTAGCCGACCCCAAAATCGTTTGGGATTAATGCTTGGATGTTATTGTTGTTGTTGTTGTTGTTGAATTTTAAAGTTAAATCATCCATATTGATAATTATTTCAATTTTAATAATTAAAATTCATATATTCAAAGACTACATTACAATCTCTATAAAGTTGTAAAATCCAAATTATTATTTAATTAAGAATTGATATCCTAATTAAGTGGATAAAATCTATCTATTTGACCCAAACAAATCAATTTGAAACTCAATTTGGGACGAATGAAGTATAATTTACTGTCATTCTAAAAATTAACATTGTTATGTTTTGATATTATCAAGTCTTAAATATGACAATATTTTATCATAATTTCATGACGGTATTATCCAAGCACGACAATAATTAAATTACTTCTATTTAAATAAACACATAGTGCTCATAATCTCATACTCTATCCATCCCGAAAAGTTTTGTCAAATTGACATTTCTTGGTCAATGACAATCAACTTTGCCCAATGATATATTTTAATACGAAATTATTTATAATATGAAAATTATATCAAAATATTCCTTATTGCAAATATTTTCACAAAAGCATAAAATTTATAAACTATATACAAATATAATAACTAAAATCATTGCTCAACGTTTGACATCATTGACCAAGAAAAGTCAATTTGGCCATCCTTTTCGGGACAGAGGTAGTATTATAGAATATCAACACGTTTTTACTCGTATTTAGAGTAATTTTTTTCATGATTATATTTTTAGAAAAAACATCTAGATATTTAGAAAAGAGACTTGCTTGGCTAATTTAGAAACTAATGTTTTTAGAAGAACAAGGTAGCTACAAAATCAACTCCACCGGTGGTGTTGATGAAGAAAATGCATGAAGATAAAAATATGAACTTTGATGGCTATGATGATTTGATGAAGATTGTTTTCTTTTTATGTTGTGGTTTTAATTGATTTGATGAAGTTTGTTTTCTATTTTCTCTTGAAGATTAAAACACTTCTATTGTTTGTATTTAGACCGTAAAGACCATCGATGGTGATAAGGTGATTGTGATAGTATAGCTTTGTTGGGTTGTGAATTGTGAGTGATAATTATAGACTATTTTTTGTGCATATATAGAAGTGAAAGTTTCTCTATTTCAATTGAAAATAATTTTAAAAAAATCAAAATTGTTGCATTTTTTAAAATATTGACATATTGCTATGTCACAATTGTTAAAAAATGTATGTAACATATTTGGCAACAGTTTTTTTGTTACTATTGATAAAAACGGCTTAAAACTGTTGTCTTATCTATTTATAAAAACTGTTCTCTATGTCATACCCTACGAGTAGGGTTTTCTTATTGTGTTGCCTTTAAATTTAAAATCCGCTTCCAAAAGTATAGGCAACACCTTACATTGCCACACATGAAATTTTTGCTGAAAGTAACGGTTTTCATTATTATGCAATGGTTTTTCCTTGTTGTGATGGACTCAAAATATTGTAGTGAGTGGCGCCCTCACATTTATCTCTCTTTGTCTCACATTTCGGTTTACAATATATACGTTCTCAAAACATTAAAACTATCATCATAATAAAACTTATATCTGATATATCAAGAAGAAAGTCTTCTTTGTTCCTTTTTCACCCCAAATTAAGAGCCGTATTTTTACCTCAAGAGAAGAATTATACGGTTTAATTTATATCACATACAAATATATCTAAAACATACATTTTAAGTGTGTAGCATATGGAAAACATTACTTTAGCATAGATGGAGTATACATAACTCTTGAAATAAAACATGTCAACAATTCACTTTTAAAATAAGATAAAATTAGATTTTATTCATAAAAAGAAAGGCTACAATAAGCGAGAAAAGTAGTATAAAAAAAGAAATGAAAATACACAACAACTAGTGCAGTAGGGGGAAAAGAAAAACTAGGTCTAGGGGAATTGTTTGGACTAAGACCCAATGCTCGTGCTGTGTCACTTTTTGTTCTTTTGGGATCTCCTGTAAATTTTGAGTTGAGTGTTTAAGTTGTCTGTTAAAAGACGATTATGTAAAGGAATGAAACGAGATTTAAAGCAAGTTGCTCTCTTCAACGTACAATTCACTACATATACGCTATATTCTAGTTTATGCAATATTACATGTCGCCATCCGGCCACAAGCCAATATTTCCAGAAATAGCGTGGACAAAGTATTTTTTTAAAAAGAAAAAAGAGTATAGTATTTGTGTGTTTTATGTTGAAATTCATACGTGATTCTATAATTTAGATTCAAGAATCTCACGGATTACCAAAACCTTCACCCGATTGATTGTGAAGAGGCACAAGTAGACATGTTGTTGGAGCTCTTCCACTTTTTTGTCGAAACCATAATTGTTGTTCTTGAATGCCTTGAAAAGCATTTGGAGAGAAAAATTATTGTCCTCACTCTTCTTCATACACAACTTTATCATACCCTTATTATGTTCAATTTCATCGTGTATTTGCCTCATGAGCCTACTCATCGTCTCCAAATCTCTCTTCACTATATAGCTCCCCTTGGCCGCTAACTCCACTTTCCTAGACCACCATTTATTTGTGTTATTATTACCACACCTTAAGCGTTGTTGGTTTTGTAACATGGAGTTGTGAACCCAAGTAAATCTAGAGTTATCGAAAAGAAAACTCAAGGAGTGGAGCTCTGATAAGATGTCGTTCGAGCTCAACCGTTCATCAACAAGAAGTTTTTGGATATGTCTATAGTCGGATTGGACATGGTTGATGCTCTTGAGAAGGCTGTCACATAGGGTGGCGGCTTCAGTGCTGATTTCGAAATAACCATTCAAAAGAGATTTTAGGTGGGAATAGCTTTTTCCCGGAGTATCTATGGAATCAAGAATTGTGGCTATCTTTTCTTTGTGGGGCTCAAGATCAGAAGAAGAGACCATAAATGGGTGTAGCTGTCGAGCCTCCATGGATAGCTGAGCATACTCATCATTCACATTGAGGGGTTTACAATCTGTATCAATTTCAAAATAGCATATGTACAAGAGTTAGTTAATTATTAGACTTAATTGAATGCAATTGTTAATAGGTGAGTCAAGGGAGGAAATTAAATTGCGGTGAGCCTGATTATATAGTTAGGGGGTGTTTGGATCTGATTCTCAAAACTGATTCTGCTCCTTCAGAGAGCAGAAGCAGAAGCTGGAGTGTTTGGGTGAAATTCCAGAAGCACTTCTGGTGCTCTAATTACTCTCAGAATCAGTTTTTTAGAAGCTGGGGGTACCAGCTTCTGAAAATTGATTCTGATTCTGCTTCTGCTTTAAAAAAGAAGCAGAATTAGAATCAATTCCAAACACCCCCTTAGTACTACGCATATCATCCATACAAAATTTTACAATTTTCCACAATAGGTTTTTACTTTAAAAAAATGATTTTTGCTAAAATTGGGATATCAGCCACACACATGGCCCCTTCTCCTAGGTCCATGCTAGGGTGAATACAAGGAGTTTGACGTATTTTTAAAATCATAGAAACTAATGCACCGAATTTATATTACACCAGAGAATTTGATACTATACATTAAACTCGAACTAAGTAACAAACCTTTTTTGACTGTCGACTTTGGACCTCTAAATCGTGCCCACATCTTATAAGGTGTTGTTGATGAATAATGATCAGTGAAGTCGATGAATAAACACTAGCTGCTCGATCGTAGTGAATTGAGTATATATATAGGTCGAAATAATAAGGATCGGAATTGGGATATATATATATATTGTACTCCGTATATTATATTATTACTAGTAGTTATATAAGCTAAGGTTATTTGGAGTAGTGTGTGTGTGTAGGATGCTACCGGCCTATATATACATACATATATGGATGGAGGAGTGCGGCGGCGTATATGGGTGACATGAGTTGCGTTGCTTTCATGAGAAGAATGGTAATGATTGCATGGGATAACAGCCACGGCATATAAAAGATGGAGTTCAATTATGCATTTCCTATAGCTTCTAAATCATCATCATCATTATAAAATTTCATGTCACGGTTGCATAATCTCCCCAAGCCTCAATTAATTAAGTTTTGGCTAATAATGAGGTTACAAGTTGCCATTTTCAAGCAACAAAACGTCAAGACCCACCAAGGATGTACCTAGCTAGTACGTTACGATCCAATATTCTTTATTCTTGGCCATAGTCTTTCTTTCACTACGTGACATGTTTTAATTTTTCATCGAGTAATTCGATCTTGTTGAACATAAAATTTGTACAATTACTCTGTACTAATTTTTTAAACAAGCTGTCTGTGTATATAAACAACAAGAAAGTCTACGATTTTTGTGTACAAATAGTTCTTTTTGTTTTTCATTAGATCGCAAACATGTGTTAATTAATTGAAGAGTTGCTTCATGTATACTGCTGTACGACCCCACAAATTAAGGCATAATCCAAACGCCGCGCGCACACACACACACACACATATATATATATATGTGTGTGTGTGTGTGTGTTTGTTTAACAAAATACCCTCATTAATACAAGGTCAATAACCTAATTTACCTTTCAAGGGTATAGAATCTATTACTCCGTACTTCATATAATCCGTTCCATTTTATGTGTATTGTTTTGATTTGACACAATTATCAGTAAAGTAGTAAAGTGATAGATTGAAAAAGTAAAAGTTATGATTACAATTTGAATACTCCGTATAATAAGTGAAATGATGTGGGATATATTTTCCCCCAAAGGATTAATATGACAGTTTTTTGGGATATGATCCAACAGGAAAGTAAGATAAGTAAGCGTATTCTACTTAATTAACATGAGCATAATGTGTGCACTTTTAGTGTCTAGATATGTCGTTTTTTCCCGTATATGTAACCAACGAATTCTTCGTGAGTGCCTAGCTTCCATTAAGAAGCGGAACGATATGATATCGCCGCCAATCATCATTTGATAATAATAGAAATAATCCGTTAAAGCCTTTTTTGTCTCTCATTAACGCCTTGTAAGTTGTAACATACGAACATGTAATATACCGCCGTCATTCCCATATATCATGTCACACGCTACATACTACCTCAATTTTGTTAATGGCAATATTGGACTTTTTGCACTATTCACATATTCTATTTTGATTATATTTTATTAATTGATATGTTATAAATTATTTTTAAAAAAATATTGTCAAATTCTTCTCATTCTAAATTTTCAAAATATGAATTTTATAATTTTTTACTAGTAAGAAATGAAAGATATTAATAATCAAAATTGTGCGTTGACAAACGTAAAATGTTGACAGTTGCAATTAAAAGGGAACGGAGAAAGTATGTATTAAGCATATTCCAATAAGCCAATAATATTGCTGCCTTGTGATTTATGATGAATTCATGATTGCCCATCTATCTCGGCATCTCATTAATATAATACACAGATAAATTGAAGTAAAATTTAAAAAATGTGACTAATTTTAAAAATTGAAAAACGTGACTAATTTTACAAAATGTGACTAATTTTAAAAATTGAAAGATGTGACTAATTTTAGAAAATGTGATTAACAAAGTCATATATATAAGAAAATTTTATGTCACTATGACTTTTCATGTCATCACGGAAAGTTGTCACTACCTTATTTTCATGTGACTAGATGTTACTACCGCCGTGTAAGGATGTTTTTACTTGGACTGTAATTTGCTGGTCTGGTCTGTTTTGATCTGGTCTGGTCTGAAATTTTATTTTTTATATTCTTTGCATAAAAATTTTATTTTTTTATATATATTATAATCCATAAATAATTATATTTTATTCATTTATAATTAAAAATAATAATATTCCTTCTGTCATGCTAAAAAATTTTCTATTCGTTATAAAAGTAATAATACTAATAATACTAATAACAACAACAACAACAATAATAATAATAATAATAATAATAATAATTAGGGACGTGCACTATCCTGTTTAAACCGGAAAACCGGACCGAACTGGATCGGAAAAACCGGAACCGGATCAAACCGGAATGAATCCGGTCTGGTTTTCGGGTTTGAACCGGATGAACAGGTCCGGTTCCGGTTTTGAACCAGATGAACCGGTTCGGTGTCGGGTACAAACCAAAATACATCCGGTTCGGTTTTTGGTTTTGAACCGGATGAACCGATTCGGTTCCGGGTAATAACCAGAATACATCCGGTCCGGTTTTCGGTTTTGAACCGGATGAACCGGTTCGGTTCTGGGTAAAAACCGGAATACATCCGATCCGGTTTTCGGTTTTGAACCGGTGCATACCCCTAATAATAATAATAATAATAATAATAATAATAATAATAATAATAATAAAAATAAAATATGCTCTAGTCTGGTCTGGTCTGGTTTGTTTTAGTCTGGTCTCGTCTGGTCTGTTTTGATCTGGTCTGGTCTGGTCTGGTCTGAGACAAATTACAGTCCAAGTAAAAACAACCTAACATGTCATTGCGACCGCAGGAAAAATTTCCGACGAAAAAGCAAAATTGTAATTACAGTCCTAGTTTACAATCGTTTCCTGACGCCCCGGCACCACCAACGACACCACAGTCATCCCCTTCCCCAGCCCAAGTCGCCGTGCCCCGTCGACAACCCCCACCCCTACCCCGTGCATTGCCGCCGCCACTGCCCTGGCAATCGCCGCCACTGCCCCTCCCCTACACATCAAACCCGTTACTGCCCACCACCCCCACCGGCCTGCCCCTTGCCCTACACACTAACTCCCCAGCTCCCACCAGCCACCCCCTGTCCCTAGCCGCCTGTCCTTTGCTCAGGCCTCTCTCCAAAACCGATGGGTAAAAGAATTGCATCATTAATTATAATAAGGGTCTTTTTATGGTACCTCTCTTAATGAGAAGTGTACCGTACATTTGAGTAGATAACCCATTTAAAACATTACACGTGTAAATTAGAGACCATTATTATTAAAAAATAATAATAAAGTACTTCGTAATGAAGTTAAATAATTCGAGGTATTTGCATTTCAGTCCTTTTGCAAGAGCTCTAGCAAATAATTCGAGTTTTTAGTGTGCATTAGTGTCCGAAACTCATCTTCTCCAGTCGAGAATCAAAGTGATAGGCGAGAATCGATGGTCTGCCAAAAACTGGCTTTTTTCTTCAAGTGCACAGGCGGTTCTCCAGGCTCTAGCAACGTTTTTCAACAAACACCTGCAGGTCAACGGCGGAAAATATTAACACCAGCAGCCATCAATGATGGTCTGCCTCCCTCTCTCAGCGGCAACGATGGTTCAACTCCCTCTACAGCCTTCCTCGTTTCCTCGGTTTGCCACCTTGCCGGCCTCCCGTAATACATAATACTCCGTAACAAATTACTATGGAGTATACTTTATTGGGGTAACGTAATTAGATTGAAAATTTGTTTACCGGTACATTGAAAATTAATAAATGCACAGTAGAATTTTCCTTATAATTATTGGCCAAAATGAAGTTGGTGTGACTGAGCAATATATATGAATACCACTCATTATAATAGGAACAATAAAGTCTAAATGTTGTTAGAATTGAGACTTTATTAATAAGATGACGTGTTAGATCATTTCAAAATTAACATTGAGATAAAGAGATTATTTAGATGAATTATTTAAAAAGAAATTCCGGTACCAAGATTCATATCTCGGATTATTGTAGATTATACTCCTAGTTAAAAAGCATTTAATGCATGTCATAAAAAAGCTAAATACATGAATATCATTGTTGATGAATAATTTTAAGATTTGATATTATTCATAATTTAATGCGTAAAAATGATAAGGCAATTAGGTGTACTAGAAAAACCGTTTATTTGGATATCATGAATGGAGATGCTCTTATGTTCATGTGTACGGGAAAATGTGCAATCACGAGCTAGAATTACTCTGTAATTACTAATTACACACATTTAAAATGAATCTTTAGCTAACCAAAGTGCTAGATATATGACGAAATGACCTATTTTATGGGGCCACATTTTTGTGAGACTTAGGCTATGTTTGGCATACCATTTCAGCTCATAAAAGGCTGAAATTCTTTAAATTCAGCTAACTATCGTAAAGGTAGCCCCGTTTGGAGAGATAGCTGAACTGAGCTTATGTAGGAAAAAAGAGGCTGAATTAAAACGTTGCTAGTCCAAGCGTTGCTATTCAGCCTATTAAATAACGCACATTCTATACCACTTATATCCCTGCGCCTATAATTTTTCCATTCATGCTACCTTGGCTCTTCTCCTCTTTCCCTTGGCTTCAAAATCTCTTCATAGCCTTCTGTAATTTCAAATCACCCATGCGGGTTTGTGGCAAAGGCAAAGCAACTGAGATTTTAAAAAGGCCAAATTTCAGGGGCTACCTAGCAGAGAGGAGTAGCAGTAATATGGAGTAATATTTAAAGAAAAATAATACTCCGTGCAAAGATTTATGAGAAAGCCGCCTCACTCGAATCTATATCTATATATTTATTAAATGAACTAAGTCTCTCCTTAAGTTTCCCGCTCACACGTAGGGGTATTTAGGTAACTCCAAGCGTGTTCTTAAGTTAACGCATCTGGGGTTTTGTTCTTGGGGTATGTTCTATGCCTAGCAACCATCGACTCATCCGAGCGCCTCCCTATTCGATCTGGACTTCTGGAGCATTAGGGTTTAATACTAAGCAACACGCTCTTCTCCCTGCTATGCCACACGAATTTTAACTTGCTTTTGGTCTGTTTTTTGATTTATTGACTTCAGCGATTTCTATTTCTAGCTCGGAGAGCTCATCTCAGTCCGCCTTCTCATTATTAGTTAGTATT